AACCCCATGCAAAGCTGTTACCAGGTCCTTCTTGGCCACACCTGCACCTGCAGGGCCAGCACCATTAGGAGAAAACATGAAACTCTCAGGTCCTGGGCTCAGTGTGAAGGTCTTACTTCTTCCTCTGTGTTACGTGCTGAGAGGAAAGGACTAGCACGTGGGTGCTGGGCACCAAGCAGGCACAGCCTAGGCTGCAGCTCAGGAGGCCCACCCCACAGGGGAGAGGAGGGCCTCCTGAGGAGGACATTGTTCTCCAGCAACCAGGGAGTGGCAGGTTTGGGGGCTGGGGGCTGGTGAGGAAAGACAGGGGTGGAGTAGGGAGGGAAGTCCTGAGAAGCTCCTCATTCCCTCCTGGGCTGAATTTCTCTCCCTGCCCTTTTCTGCCCTCCTCTGAGCTCAGGGCCTAGCTTGGCCTCAGTCTCCTCACTGCCCCTCCTTCTCATCCCTGCTGACCACTGAGCTTCCTCAGAGTCCACCAACCCTGCGCCCCACAGACCGCACTGGTCTGAGCTCCCACTTCTGCATATCCCTCCCACCGAGGACACCCAGAGTGCCCAGGTTCCAGCAGGGCCTGGTCACTGAGTTGCCACCCAGCTTATGTCTGGCACAGGTAATATGGGACCAGGCCTTTGCTGCCCCATGCAGGGCCCTGGAGAACAGGGCATCAGGGTGTCTGCAGAACACCTGGCCCCATCTCTCACTGGGCAGAGCCAGCTCCACCCTCACATCCAACCCAGTGTCCTGTATTTGTGTTATATTTTTATTGCTCATTACACTCTGTTTGAATTGTATCATTTGGGTCTCTAGAACACCATCATGTGGGCTTTGGAAATGAGTTTATTTCTTTCATTTCTAGACGTGCAGCCCCCAAACTGTTCACTGGCTCATCCTCTTCACCTCGGGGAGAGGGCAGCAGGTGGGGAGCAGGCAGGGCAGCAGCCTCATTTCCATGAGCCATAAAAGTAGCAGATATAATTGGTGACAAAGGGGAAGGGGTATGTGGGACTGGGTAAAAAAACGGGAAAATACAAATTGATAGTTAGAAAATAGTGACTAGGATGCAAAATACAGCATAGGGAACACAGTCAATAATATTGTGATAACTATGCCTGGTGCCGGTGGGTACTGGAAATATTGGGGGCAACACTTTGTAAAGTGTATGATTTTCTAATCACTATGCTCTACACCTGACAGTAATACAAAATAATATTGAAAGTGGACAGTAATTGTAAAATACAATTTAAAATACAGTAAAAGTACATAACTAGCTAGTTATTAAAACGAATATAGGAAGGAGCAAAGGGGCAGCCAGACATTACAAATGTGGTCATGTGGGCAGCTTCACCAGGAAGCTGCAATTTTACACTCCCCAGGGAAACACCAGTCCATTCCCTGCAAATCACTAGGGGAAGGGGCCCAACGAAGGGGAGAAATGGAAACAAAGATAACTGGCCAGAGGGGTGGAGCGAATGCAAGCCCGAGAAAATTTGGGAATACAAAATCCTCAGACTAAGAATTCTCTCTCTCTCTCTCTCTCTTTCTCTCTCTCTCTCTCTCTCTCTCTCTCTCTCCTTTGCTTCACTCCTGCTTCCTTGCACTAGCCCCTGCTCCCTCCATAGTCCTGTGGCCCTAGACCCTACACACAATGGACTGCAACGGGAACACAAGCTTACCAGATGCTGGACTGGACTGTGCAAATATGGAACTAACTCTGGGCAGTGGCTTTGCTTCTAGCTCTGCTGAATCCCCAGCTGCACCTTTTCCAGGTCCAGTTTAAAGGACATGGGACTTTTGCACCTGAGGGACATAACTCCATGCAAATAAAATTCACTCATTCTCCTGTACAAGTCATAGAAAATTCATTTCTAAAGCTATCTTAGAACCCTACCCCCAGCACCCTGTGGGTAAAGGTATTCCCCACTTCCACTAGTGAACACCCCACTTCCACTAATAACAATTGCACAGAATCAAATGGTAGGAAAACCTATAAAATGTATCTCCCAGAGGGTAGTTAGAGTCTTACCTTTGGACAGGCCACAACATTGTCCCTCTCATTATCAAAAGCTCCTGCCTGTGCACAATCAAAAGCAAATCAGGGGTCATGTGGTGGGAGGGTCATGTGGTCAGAAAAGTGGAGAAACACCTCTTCTCTTTAGGCCATCATGGGTGCTGCTCCTTCATACTTTCTAATATGACCTAGACTTTTCAACATTATAAAATCCTTGTCTAGGAGGCCACACATAGAGAATGTGATGTTTTTGCTAAGATCTCCCTGTGTTGAGCTCACCTCACCAGCCACTCCTCCACATCTTGCCACTAATATGGGCATTGCCTGGGAGCAGAGCATAAGATCCAGGTCTGGCCTAACACCCTCCTGACCCTAATACACAAAGCACTCTCTTATGACATGGGGCAAATGCTCTGGGCTCATGTAACCTTCAATGGCCTGGTCTTTGCCATCTAGTTGCACACGATTCATGCAGCAACACAATGTCTCAATGATCTTGAGTACATTTACCTGGAAAGAGCAGTCTTGTCACACAGCTACTGATTTGCAACTGAAAAAAAAGACAAAAATATCAGCACGGAAAAAAGATGGCAACCAACAAGAAGGTAAGGAGGGAGAGAGTGTGAGAGAGTGAGAGAGCAATAAAGGAGTGTGTGGATGCATGTGGTGTGTGTGTGAGAGAGAGAGAGAGAGAGAGAGAGAGAGAGCAAGGGACAGTTAGATCCTGCAGGTCTTCCATGGGGCAGCTAAACCGGGCAGTCTTAGATGGTGAAACCCCGCTGCCACAGTGGACACTCCGGGAGCGGCCAGCACAGGCACAGAGACCACGCCATCTTGAAAAACAGAACTACTTAAGACTAGGATCCTAGCCTCACCATCACCCAATCTGGTCTCAGATGCAAACCAGGACCCTACAGCCACTAGGGACAAAGACCTGTAATCACAGCTGCAGACCCACAGACACCAAGAATCCAGACATCCCAGCTGCAGATTTCTGTGAGTCACAGAGCCCATCCGCCTCCCTGCAGGTTCACTGCAGCACCATAGGAACTGCTAGACCCTCCCTGAGCAAGCGGGCCTCCTGCCCACACAGGGCAGCTCTGCTACCTGAATAAGAGCCTGGGCAGGTGGACACTATGAATCTGTTTCCCACATCATGCACTCACGCGACCAGACCCCACGCCCACACAGGGTGACCCCGCTACCTGAATTTAAGCCTAGGCACGTGGACTCTGCAGCACACGCTCGTGCAACCAAACCCTATGCCCACACAGAACAGCAGTGCCACCTAACTTTGATTCTGGGCAAATGCACAAGGAAGTCTGTTTTCCGTAGCACATGAGTGGACCTCCTGCCACACAGGGGAGCTGTGCAAACTGGTCCCCCAAGGAGACTGGAGACCCTGATTCTCCACATGAGAGGCAGCACTGAGCACCACTGACTTGACTCTGTTTCTTTCTTTTTTTTCATTTTTATTATTTTTATTTTATTTTATTGTTTAAAGTATTACAGATAGTAGTACATATGTCTCCTTTTTTTGCCCCCATTGACTTTCTCCCAACCTCCCCTACTCCCCGGCACATGCCCTCACCCCACCCCCCCCCCAGTGTCTTGTGTCCATTGGTTATGCTCATATGCATGCATACAAGTCCTCAGTTGATCTCTTACCTCCCATCCCCACTTGATTCTGTTTCTTATCACACGTGTCTGAGATCCCTGATTCCCAGTCCATGCATACTAAGAGCCAGTGACTCCAATTCTCCGTGCATGCATACACAGGGACCCTGCTTCTTGGCGTGAGGCCTCACCAAGCAACAGAGACTCTGATACTCGATTCTCAGCATGGACACAGGGGTCTCTAACTCCTGGCATGCACTGGGAGACTCTGACTTTCAGCACACACCAGCTGGGTCTCTTTTTCAGCATGGCGCAGGCAAGGTCCCTGATTCTAGGTGCGTGCACAAGGCCATACTGAGTGCCGGTGACTCTGATCCTGGGCGAGTGTGGTTCCCACCAACCCACAG